AGCTATCACACTCCACGTGAATACCCTTCGACATTAGCTGAGTGACAGTTAGTAGATTGTAGCCGAGGTTGTCGACGACAAGTATGCGTGGCATTTGTAGTATAACTTTTGTCTCACTGGATTGTAACTGAACGACAACTTCCTTCCTTGTGCGCAGGTTCTGGTTGTTGGCGACGGTGATAACGACTTCTCGGCTCAGAGTCTTCTCTTGCTGGATGAAGCGCGTTGAAGAGCACATGTGTTGTCCACAACAACTGTCAAGGAGCCAAGTGTCGCGGCCGGACGGTTTGTCGCGAGCGATTGCAGCGTAAGTCGGGTTCGGTTGGAGTCGGATCTGCGTCGGAGCGGGGGTTTGTTCGTCGAGAGTGATGTGAGGCGGAGAATCGGGTACGCTGTAATCTGTTTGTTCGCTGCGAGTTGCTGACTCGGTTTCTTTGCATGTCTTTCTTCGTACAGATCCATGTCTTGCTGCTCAGCGTGGAGCTCCGCGCACAGATCCTCCTGTGGACACGTAGGAGGGAGAGCGTTGTAGGCCACTGTGGATCGAGGCCAGCAAGGACAACTGTGACGAACGAATCCTCTGATAAGTGCCCTCCGCTTCGTAGAAGCTTGTCGCGTAAACCTATGCATCGATTGTTGTACGGCATCACCTTTTCTCTTGGCTACATCTGTATTGTCATGAGTTGTGCCATTAGTCGGCTTTGTGTCACGATGTCATTCGCCTGGTAGACACTCTTCAGATGACAATATGCCCGTTCGGCCGAGTTGCCGAAGTTGCGATACGTGCGGATGTTTTGCTGCTCCGTTGCTGTCAAGTTGCGCAAGAGGATGGTGAAGGCTATCAGTGACTGATAAGTGTAAATCTTCTTTTCTTGAGTAGTCCCGTTTACAGGAAATGGCCAAGAGCCGGTGAAGAAGCCGAGGATTTGCGCGCCGTCCATCAGCAATTCAAACTCGAAGCTCCAGGCGAAGAAGTCCTTCCCGTTGAAAGGTGAGGACGTCTGTAGTTTCAGGATATTGTTGAACTGTTGTTGCATGGTGACAATGTTGGTCTGCTTGTCAGCTGTCTCTGACTCTACTGCCAGTGCAGGAGTCGACAGGAAGGTAAACAAGCCTGACGAGGGCTGGTACGTTTGATGCTGTGTAGGTTGTACACCTCTGGCGTACGATGCGCCGTCAAGAATCATTGGAATTGCCCCGTTGCTGCTGTTTGCCCATTGAGCAGGTGCCAAAGGCTTTTCGAAGGTCAACATACAGGAGAGAAACTTCTCTATTAGATTCAGGTCCATGCCCGTGAAGGAGGCCACTGGTTGCGTGGAGGCTCCTGCGACAGCAACTCCTAGTAGAGGATCTATCGCCCTTAGACGGTGCCATGTCTTGTAAGTTGTTGCAAATGAATCTTCAAACGAATAAAACTCACTGAGGGAGTTTGTAACATGAGCGTAGCTTCTGAATAGCTCTCATACCATGTTGGGCTGAGAATAGCCCTAGGATCTTTTCAGAAGGCTAAGTCCTTATAATAGAGTGCTTGATAGCACAACAGAAGACTTGAGTTGAACCCTTGTACTAGTATGTGAGAACAAGTGATCGATTATAGCAAAGGGACACAAGGTTTGTATAATAATACAAGAGAATATGAAGAGTCTAACTGTTTTGTACTTTGAGGGGTACATTCCCTTTTACGATTTGATAAGGCGACTCGGGTAACCACCCGTAATGTAATATCGGGACGGCTATTTGTCCTTACTGTCGCACTGACTCTTGACTCTTCCAATTCTCTTGTTGGGTTGCATGGTCAACAGCCTGCGACCGTTGCCCTTTCGTAACCTCTGCGGGGTGTCATCAACCCGCGTCAATTGTCGGTAGTACTGAAGCAATATTGACTTGGTAATCCCCGTTGTTATAGTCTTCACATATTCGTATACTCGCACGAGACTCTGGAAATGTGTTTAAGTATTTTTATCATTTCCAACAGCTCCCTCCCCGCCATTTTCGCCCCATAACATACCCTCAACCGCCCATTCGTTTGTTAGTTTAGTAACTAGTGTGAGACCGCATTACGTGACATAGGGGAAAGAAAGCTACGTGCTTTCCCACTTCCCCGCTTTCCCGCTTTCCCACTTCCCCGATTTCCCGCTTTCCCGCTTCCCCAATTTCCCGCACCCTTTTGACGCGTCTCTACCTGTTTCCGCGCCCCGGCCAGTCCCTGCTACCATATTTTCCTTTTCCCATATCCTATCCCTCTCCTTTGCATTACTTTCCGTTATATCCCTATCTACCCCACCCACTATCCCTTGCTTGTCCTCGCTCCAATCCCTTACTTTTCCACCTCCTTTCGCTTCCAATCCCCGCTCCAATCCGGAGCTCTCTCTGCCCTCCTTTCCCTGCCATTCCCCGCTCCACTTCCCTTACTTTCCCCGCAAAATTACCTTCCTTTCCCTCCTACTTATCCCATCGTTACCCACCTCCTAGCCTGTCCTTCCCATGATCCTTACCCTGCTCCTATCCCCTCCTCATCCCGCTACTATCCCTTCCACCCCCACCTCCTATGCCTTCCTTTCCCCTCTCCAATCCCTTCCCTACCCTGTTCCTATCCCTTCCTTTTCCCGCTAGTAAGCCTTTCTTACTCACCTCCTATACTGTACCTGCCTTTCCCTTATCCTGCTATAATTAGGTAGGTTGGCCCGGAATAGGGGGAACGAGGGCACAGGAGAGGGGGGAAAGAGGGCACTAGAGGGGGAAGGAGTGCAATGCCTCACTCGCTCCCCACGCCCCCGCGATGACGGACCTACCTTCCATGGTCGCCCCTGCCTCTCCGTCGCATGGGTGCATGAGGTGGGGGGAGCTGAAAACCGGCGCATGCCTGGCTGGTGGGGGTGGCTGGCTTTCGCGGGGGGAGTAGGAGGGCATTGAAGAAAAGTAGGAGGGCACTGAAAGGAAAGTAGGATGGCACCGAAAGGAAAGTAGGAGGGCACTGAAAGGAAAGTAGGAGGGCAATGAAAGGAAAGGAAGAGGGCACTGAAAGGAAAGTAGGACGGCAGTGAAAGGAAAGTAGGAGGGCAGTGAAAGGAAATTAGGAGGGCACTGAAAGGAAGTAGGAGGCACTGAAAGGAAAGTAGGACGGCACTGAAAGGAAAGTAGGACGGCACTGAAAGGAAAGTAGGACGGCACTGAAAGGGAAGTAGGAGGGCACAAAAAGGGAATTAGGAGGGCAATGAAAGGAAAGTAGGAGGGCACTGAAAGGAAAGTATGAGGGCACTGAAAGAAAAGTAGGAGGGCACTCAAAGGAAAGTAGGAGGGCACTGAAAGGAAAATAGGGGGGCACTGAAAGGAAAGTAGGAGGGCACTGAAAGGAAAGTAGGAGGGCACTGAAAGGAAAGTAGGAGGTCACTGGAAGGAAAGTAGGAGGGCACTAGAAGGAACGTAGGAGGGCACTTAAAGAAAAGTAGGAGGGCACTGAAAAGAAAGTAGGAGGGCACTGAAAGGAAATTAGGAGGGCATTGAAAGGAAAGTAGGAGGGCACTAAAAGGAAAGTAGGAGGGCACTAAAAGGAAAGTAGGAGGGCACTGAAAGGAAAGTAGGAGGGCACTGAAAGGAAAATAGGAGGGCACTGAAAGGAAAGTAGGAGAGCAATTAAAGGAAAGTAGGAGGGCACTAAAAGGAAAGTAGGAGGGCACTGAAAGAAAAGTAGGACGGCACTGAACGGAAAGTAGGACGGCACTGAAAGGAAAGTAGGAGGGCACTGAAAGGAAAGTAGGAGGGCATTGAAGGAAAGTAGGACGGCACTGAAAGGAAAGTAGGAGGGCACTGAAAGGAAAGTATGAAGGCACTGAAAGGAAAGTAGGAGGGCACTGAAAGGAAAGTAGGAGGGCACTGAAAGGAAAGTAGGGGGGCACTGAAGGGGGGATGGAGGGCAGTGAGGGAGAGGAAGGATGGCTCAGTAGGGGGGGAAGGAGCGCACGCCTTACTCACTCTCCATGCCCCCACCTCGACTCATCTGCCCTCCCTTTCCATCGCAGCCTCCCCAAGCCCCGGCCCCCATCTCATATGCCCGTTTCCTGTCTCCCATGCCTCCCCCCCTTAACCCATGCTCCAAAACCCACTTCCTCATCTCCCGTGCTCTCCCCCTCTCACCCATACTGTCACTGATTCCCGCCACCCACTTCTTGCTTCCCGCTCAGAGGACTTTTGTCACTCCGAAAAGGCAGGGGGGTGGTGGGGGGAGGGAGGAGGAGGGATCTGTTAGGGGGGGGGGAAGAGGGCTCTTGAGGGGGGGAAGAGGGCTCTCGAGGGGGGGAAATCTGGCTCTGGAAGAGGATCACACATGCTCTCACCCCCTAACTCGTCCTCTCCCCCAAACACCCTTCCACTCCGCCACATTAGCAGGGTTTGTGGCAGAATGAGGGATCAAGGCTATAGGGGACATGGCTGTAGGGCGTGCTAGATTGTAAATAGATCCCTGCCGCTTGGCTGGCAAAAGCGCTCTGGCTGCCTGGCTGTCCGTAACATGAGCACGTGCTCAAATATGAAATACTTCTGAAATTTGAAATTCAGTACACAAATGCCACAATCCCCCCTCGAATGTTTATCTGCAGGTAGCGAGATCTCGCCACCTCTAGCATGCATCACTCAGTTACCACTGTTTCAAATGTTTATAACTTGAAACAAATTGAAGTGAATGTGTGCTGTGCGAGGGGATGGGAATCTCGATGAGACCCCTGAGGACTACCTGCAGATGTCCGCGAAGAATTTCGTGCCGCTCACCGTTTTCGTCATCATCGCTTCCCAAGTGCCGAAGCCTGGCCACCCCGAATCTGCTCATTTACCGTAGGTGCACTGCGGTACAGAACGCTAGTCCCATAAGTCTGAGTGGTGCAGTGCGCAACGACCATCTCATCTCATCCATGGGAACTGGTTTCATTCCCTCACTCACACCCCTCCCTCACGGCTTATCATTCCCACGCCTCCTGAGGTTTTTGAAGTAATGAAAAAATAATTTGATACTCGGTCTGGTGTGTATGATGGCTGCTAGATTTCTCTCCGCCATGAACGCTGAAGCCATCCATCCATCGCCGCCTTCCCGGTTGACGCGGCAGTCGCTCGCGCGACGGAGGAGAGTTAGATTTAATCAAACGCGTGGCGGGAGAATGAGCAGTAAGGGAACGCATCATGGCGGGAAATCGAGGTCTTTAGTCAGAAGCTCTCGCTCTCGCATTCGCGCCATCCTCCTTGTACTTGGGCTCGCAAATTCTAATTGAGTTCCTAAGTTTGCCCCATCCGAACGACGAGCCATCGCGCGTTGTTGCGAGATGGAGCCCATCATCAGAAGGCATCGTCGGCCGTTTTTTTAGTCGACTCAAAAATCGACTCATTACACACCATCAGAAGGCAGCGTCGGCCGTTGTTTGAAGCGCCGAGTCCATCATCGGAAGGCGGCGTGGGTCGTTGCAGGTGATGCGTCAGGCAGGTGATGCAGTGCGTAGCTAGCAACGACCGCGGGCTCTGTCTGTCGCTCGCATCCTTCCGCGCTCCCACTCACCCGCAACTCGTTGCCTTTGAGTCTCTCTCACCCAGAAGTCGCCTCTCGTGGGAGTCGAATCGAGACGGCGCTCCCGCTCCCCCGCATGGTGGCGTCAGAAACGAATTCCTTTTGCCTATCCAAATAAAGGCAATGGCACTTCCCGACAAGGCCGCTCGGCGTTGAGATTCCCATCGACGAGATTCCCGAGCGCTTTTTCACGTCTGCGGAAGATAAAGATCCTCGTGAGAAGGTGCGTTGGTTTCTGGGAACTCTCAAATCCCAAATCCTCGTGAGAAGTGAGAAGGCGCGCCCTCGATTCTGTCACGTCTGTGTGAGATAGTGTCGATTTCGAGACGCCTCAAAACACGACTTTTATCCCACGCTGCCGCGTCCGAGCGAGATCGTGCCGCATTCGAGACGTCTCAAAACGCGACTTTTATTCCACGCTGTCGCGTCCGAGCGAGATCGTGCCGCATTCGAGACGTCTCAAAACGCGACTTTTATTCCTTCTGGCCATGGCGGACGAGAGGGGCGACGCGACGGCGGGCAAGGCGGCACTCCGCGCGGAAAAGCATGAGGCGAATCGTGACTTGCCGTTAACGTCGCCGTCTGTAGTAGTCGTGGCAGTGGCATCATCATGTGCGGAGGAGGGATGGGAATGGGCGCGATGTTGCCGCCTGGAGACGATTCAGGAGGAACCAGCTGCGAGGGAAGGGAGTGCAGCGAGTGAAGAGAGTGAAGGGGTTGTGAGGGATGCAGTGAGGGGAGGGAGTGTAGGGAGTGAAGGGAGCAAGGGAGTGAAGGGGTTGTGAGGGATGACGCGAGGGAAGGGGGTGAAGGGGGTTCGCAGATGATCTTACTTGGTGATCAGCCAAGTGACGTGGAGCGTTGTGACTGTAACGGGGAGTTTGCTTCTGGCACGCAAGGGAGTGCTCAGTTACCAGATCTAGAGCAAGATGCGCCTGATTGGTGGGCTCGCACACCTGAAGCACCTGAGAAACGACAGAAAGTGCCAACCAGACGAAGTGTTTCCCGCCTAAAGCCCCCCTGGCTGGGGGATAGCACCACTGGCAGTGTAACACGCAGGGGTGGTGGTAAACCACCAAAGCTGTGCATGAGTAGCAGCACTGGAGTCGAAGGAATGGGTGGTAGTTTTGGAGCCACATGCGTGGGTGATAGCAGCAGCAGCAGCGGCAGCGGCGGCGGCGGCGGCAGCAGCAGCAGCACCACCACCAGCGGCAGCAGCGGGTGCATGGGTATGGGCGTTGGCTCAGGCAGAAGTACAAGGCCCGTGCCTGCTGCTGTGGCGGCTGCTTGTAGTGAGCAGTCAGGCTTGGGGAGCCCGGACCGTCTGCCGAGGCTGCGCCTGTGGCTCGGCGTGCAGCCACGGAAGGAGGAGTTGGTGCGGATGCAAAGAGGGGGTGAGGAGTGTGATAGAGAGGATGGAGAGGACGGGAGGAGGGGAGGGGAAGTGGAGAGTTAACGGAGAGAAGCGGAGGAGAGGGATTTGAGGAAAAGGAGGAGAGGAGAAAGGAAGAGGTGGTGGGTGGGGGAATGAGGGAGCGAGGGAGGGAGAGGAGGAAGGGGGCGCACGGGAGCAAGGCGGGAGGTTTATGAGTGGGTTTTGCTTCCCAGTGTGCGTCCCTGCAGGGTTTGGTGGTGTAGGGGAGGAGGATGAGGGGGAGGAGGATGAGATTGTTGAGGGAGCTGGGAGGGAGGAGGCGGATGAGAAGGGGGAAGAAGAGGAGCGTGAGGAGGAGGATGAACGTGAAGAGCGAGAGGAGAGTGTGGGGGAGGAGGAGAGTGGGGGGGGAGAGTGGGGGGGAGGAAGAGGAAGAGAGTGAAGAATATGAGGAAGAGGAGGAGGAGGAGGAGGAGGAGGAGGAGGAGGAGGAGGAGGAGGAGGAGGGAGGAGGAGGAGGAGGAGGAGGAGGAGGAGGAGGAGGAGGAGGAGGAGGAGGAGGAGGAGGAGGAGGAGGAGGGAGGAGGAGGAGGAGGAGGAGGGGGAGGAGGAGGGAGGAATGCTGGTAGCAGGCAGACCACAGTTTAGGCGTAAGGTAGGCAGTTATGAAGGAGAAAGGAGAGGGAGGAAGGAGGGATAGGCACAGCAGGTGAGGTCGGTCTTGTTGATTCACACTTGAGGGGTGCAACAAGCGGCAAAGGAGGAGAGAGGGCGAGGGGTGAGGAAGGGCAGGCGGGGAAGGGGAGGAGCAAGCTGGGGTGACGGGCGCAACAGGTGAAGGTGGTTCTGTCGATTCACACTTTGGGGATAAGATAAGCGGCAACGAACGAGAGGGCGCAGAGGGAGAAGTGGGAGGAGCAGGTGGAAAGACGACGAGGAGTCAGATAAGAATGATTCGGTTTGCAGAGAGGAGGGGCAGGAGAGGGCAAGGGGGGAGACGTCGACGCTGGGAAGTGGCTTCGGGCAGTTGGGCAGAGACGCTGGAGAAGAGGTGGTTCTAGGGGGGGGTGGCCGTGAGGTGAAGCGGGGCAATGGGTCGGACTTTGAGATCCCTCGGGACTCGCCAAGGGGGCTGTTGGGCCAGTTGGGCCAGTTGGGCCAGTTTGGCAGAGTTGCTGGTGAAGTGGTGGTACAAGGCGGGGGTGACCGTGAGGTGAAGCGGGGCAACGGGCCAAGCCAGACCGATGGGGCAAAGCATGGGGAAGGGTTGTTGCACGGGGGTGGATTGAACCAGGGCGATGATGGGTCGAGCCAGAAAGATGGGTTGGGGGGGGACGGATCGAGGAGGAAAGGGCGCGGTTGGATGCGGTGGAGGGTGCTGGCTGCCGTGGGTGCTGCTGCTGTGATTATAGGGGGGGCGGCTGTGATCATGGGGAGGGGCAGAGGTGGGAAGGGGAGAAGTGAGAAGGGGAGAAGCGATAAGGGGAGAAGTGAGAAGGAACGGAGGGGGCAGAGGGAGGAGTGGGTGCTGCAGAAGGTGGAGATGGAGGGGGGAACGCGTGGGAAAAGGGAAGAGGGGGAAGAGGGGCGGGTGGAAGGGCGGAGCGTTGAGGACTGTGCGGGCAGCATACCTCTGCGCAGGGAGGGAACGGGGAGTCGAGGGAATTCTCATAAAGAGTGTCAAGTTTTGAGGCGCCTCAAAAATAGTCAAGGGGATTCTCATACAGGGTGTCAAGTTGTCAAAAATAGTCAAGGGAGTCAAGGGAATTCTCATAAAGGGTGTCAAGAGGGGAATGAGAGCGTGGAAGAGGGGGAAGAGGGGGAAGGGCTACAAGTCACGGGATTGGGGGAGAAGGTGGGAGCAGCGGAAGTGGACGGCGCGGTGAATAGGGAGGATGAGGAGGAGGGAGAGGAAGGGTGGATGGAGCAGAGGAGGGTACAAAGGATGAGGGAGTGAGGGAGGAAGAGGAGGAGGACGGAGATGAGGAATGGATGGGGCAAGAGGAGGGAGAAGAGGAGTGGGTGGAGCAGTGGGTAGAGCAGCAGCAGCGGAGGCAGTGGGAGAGGCAGAGGAGGAGAGCCATGTGTGGGAGTTCATGTTTCAGGGAGTTTGGGTTGGGCCTTGGTAAATGGTATGAAGTGGAAGAGGAGGAAGCGGAAGAGGAGGACGAACCTATGTCCATGTGAGTGATCCAGACTGGTGTTCTCATGGTGTTCACACACAGTGCCCCCAGAAAGTCTGTTCTTTTTCAGAATGCTTCTTCAGCCTCTCACATCCTGTCATCCCTCGCTCCCCTACCATTCTGTCTGCTCCCGCTTCTCCACTCGCAGGGGAGAGAAGGGGGAGCGTTTCTTAATCGTCTGCCCTTCTCCCCTCGTCCCCTGTCGCCCCCTACTCCTCCTCCTCACCCCCCTTCCACCTGTCCTCATCCCATTTGCCCTCACCTGGACTGCTAAGTAGCTGTGCAGCAGTAATAGAATGAGCTCACACACAGCCCTTAGACTTTCCCTATTTGCATGCACCCTCTCTTGCCCGTTTTCCCTTTTTGCCCCCACCACCCCGGCTTTGTCCATCATCTGAAGAGGTTTTTACATCTGGCCACTTTTCCCCCTGCTTCTGTCCTCCCGAGCTAGCTGGTCAGAGGTGACTTTTGAGTCGACTCAAAAGTCACCTCGAGCTAGCTGGTCAGTCGCTTTGAGCGAGGCCGAGGCTGCAGCAGTGGAGGGCAACCTTCTCCTCACCAGCCTCACCAGTCTAGCCTCGCCTTGCGTTTCCTTATCCACTCCTCTTTCCACATGTATCTCGCGCACCTCCTGGCTGCTGTGGCCAACCAATGCAGGCTGATCAGTTGCTTCGATGTCGAGGCAGCAGCAGTGGAGGAGGAGTCTCTCAGCAGCCTTCTTGTTTTAAGCAGCACCCGTTTTTCTTTGTGTGCAACACTTTTTGAAAGCAGGCTGATGAGTCACCTCGAGGCAGAGGCTGCATTTTGAGTCGACTCAAAATACACCTCAAACGACACTTTTTGAAAGCAGGCTGATGGGTCACCTCGAGGCAGAGGCTGCATTTTGAGTCGACTCAAAATACACCTCAAACGACACTTTTTGAAAGCAGGCTGATGAGTCACCTCGAGGCCGAGGCTGCATTTTGAGTCGACTCACAATACACCTCAAACGACACTTTTTGAAAGCCGGCTGATGAGTCACCTCGAGGCGTAGGCTGCAGCAGCAGTGGAGGAGTTTCTCAGCAGCCTCGTTCTCTTCTCCTTTGCTTGTCTGTCGCCTCCCTTACTGTGTGTCTGTCTCTATCAACCAACGCAGTCTGATCAGTCGCTTTGACGCAGAGGCAGCAGCAGCAGTGGAGGAAGAATTTCTCAGCAGCCTCACCGTGCCCCCATGTGACTATGGCGGATATGGCGAATATGGGGATTGGGGGGGGTATGGCTGTAGTGGTGGTGACTGTATTGAGGGGAAAGATGGGTGGAGAGGGGAGATGGGGATGGTGGGGGAGGAGGAAGAGGAGGAGGAGGGGAGAGGAGGGGAGGAGTGGATGTATGAGAGAGAGTGGGAGGTCTTTGAGAGGACACAGAGAGAAGGGGAGAGAGGAGGGAGGGAGGGGGGAGAGGAAGGGGAAGGGGAGGAATGGGCGGGGATAGGAGGGACAGGAGGGGGGTTAGCTTTTGAGGCGCCTCAAAAGGCGGGGATAGGAGGGACAGGACGGGGGTTAGAGAGTGGAGTGGTGAGGGATGCGGAGATGCATGGTGCATGGGATGCAGGGAAGGATTGGGAATGGGGTGGTGCTGGGATGCATGGTGGGGATGTAGGGGCTGGAGCATGTGATGATGATACAGCGATGTGTGCGATTGAGTGGGATGGGAGGGGATCGGATGAAATTCAGTGCGGTGAGAGGGAGTGGGATGGGAAGGAGTGGGATGGTGCTGGGACTGGATGTGAATTGATTGGGGAGGATGCTGACTTGGCACACGACAGCAATCATGATGAGCCGTGCTGTGCCCTTGAGAACAGCAGGCATTATTATTATGGTGGTGGTGGTGCTGCTGCTGCTGCTGCTCCTGGTGCTGCTCGTACTGCTGCTGGTTCGGGTGCTGGCTGCTTCACGGAGCATCGCATCCATGATGACCATCATGACCATCATGACCATCAGGAGAGTCACGTTGGCACGGTGTTTGACAAGATGTTCCATCGAGCACCCATGGCAGCCACAGCAGCCACAGCAGCAGCAGAGTAAGTCAACCCAGCACGCCTTGTGTGCGTGAACGTTCGTTCACTCTGCATCACCCTCCCTCTCCACCCTCCACCACCACCACCAACCCCCCCCCCCCTTCTCGAAACCACCAACCCTCCCCCCCCTCGGCACTTCCGCCTCCCGGATTCTGGCTGAAGTCGATTTTAGGCGCCTCTGAAGTAATGGCGCCCCCTCTGCTTCGCCACAGATACTCGTTTAATGCCCCACTTCCTTCTTTTCACACCCACTTCTCAAGAACCCCTCCCCAATGTCCCGTTTCCCATCCCTGCCTCCTCCTCCCCTTCTCCAGGGACCAGTCAAGCGTGTTCGGCCCTCCTCCTGTCCCTGCTCCCGCCCTCATGTGCCTGTCCCCTCTGCCCTACCCAAGCCTTTTCTCGATGACAAGGCTGATGAGCATGATGCCAGTATTGAGGCAGCTTGTACGAGGACAAACTGGCTGCCCTGAGCCACAGGCAGGATGGGCCCTGGAGCCTGGCTCGGGTTTTTCTGTGGGCAGTTGACAGCCGGCCTTGGGCAGAAGAAGTGTTCTCCCAGACAAATGCATCTGGCGGGGAGGTTGGAAGAGTGAGATATGGAGGGAGACTTATAGGGAAGGGAAGGAGAATGGACGATATTGTGAAAGGGGGTTCTTGTAAAGAAAGGTGGTTTGTACAAGGAAGGTGGCAGTGGGAGTGAAAATGGAGAGATATGGATGGGGGGGAAGAGGGGGAACAGGGCAAGGAAGGAGAGAGAGGAGGAGGCTTGGATGGGTGTGGAGGAGAGGAGCAGGGAGAGCAGGAAGAGCAGCAGCAGCAGCATCCATGCCACTGCCAACGGCACTGCTACTGCCACCACCTCCTCGGGCTTTGTTGGTGGGCCTAGTGTTGGTGGGGTGCCACTGCCCCCTCTGCTACGCCGCATTCTTGGATCGCTGGGGAGAAGGCTGACTAGTGATTGACTGCGACTAACTGACTGACTGGCACTGACTGTGACTGACTGCCACTGCATGAGTGACACTGGCTGTGACTGAACACGACTGACTGTGACCGACTGTGACTGACTGCGACCGACTGTGACTGACTGCGACTGACTGTCACTGACTGCATGGCATGCAGCTTTGAAGAAAAATCTGTATATATTCTGCCGTGTTGCAAACTTGTTTAAATGTATATTTTGACTACGGTTTCGCTGAAGGCAGTATGCTTGCACCCTCGAACCGAGGAGAGAAAATCACTTGATGGGTAACCTGGCAAAAGCCAGAAGTGCAGGCAAGGGGTTGTAAGTCTCAGAGTAGCAGAATAAACTAGAAGGGAGTGTACATGGTGGTTTTGACATAATGAGCTGTACTCTCTAAGGCATGCCCCTATCTAGGCTATAGTAACATATACAAATATGTTTGACACACCCCCTAGACTGGACAAGGGGCAGTGCCTGGCAAGAGACAAGCAACTCAGGGCGGCACTACTAGTCAAACCTTTGAGACCAGTGTCAAACATATACTGTTATGTTTGTATAGACTGTATAGGTTTGTGTCTTAGAGGGTACAGCTTTTAGGTTATATTACCTTGTACTCTCCCATTCTAGATCATTCTCTCATTCTAACATGGTATCATGAGAAGGTTAGGTCCATCTAGCCCGCCCGCGCTTCCGCCCTAGGCCCTAGCCGCCCTCGCGCCCGTCCTAGCCGGCCCCCCGTAGCCGTCGCGCCCGTCGTAGCCGGCCCCTCGTAGCCGTCGCGCCCGTCCTAGCCGGCCCCCTGAGCCGTCGCGCCCGTCCTAGCCGGCCCCTCGCGCCGTCGCGCCCGTTTCTATGCGGCCCCCTGAGCCGTCGCGCCCGCCCTAGCCAGCCCCCTGAGCCGTCGCGCCCGTCCTAGCCGGCCCCTCGCGCCGTCGCGCCCGTCCTAGCCGGCCCCCCCTGAGCCGTCGTGGCCGCCCTAGCCGGCCCCCTGAGCCGTCGCGCCCATCCTAGCCGGCCCCTCGCGCCGTCGCGCCCGTCCTAGCCGGCCCTCGCGCCCGTTCCTAGCCGGCCCTTGCGCCCGTTCCATCCGGCCCCCCGCGCCCGTTCTTGCCGGCCCCTCGCGCCTGTCTCGCCGGCCCCTCATGCCCGTTCCTAGCTGGCCCGCGCGCTTGTTCTAGCCAGCCCCTCGCGCCTGTTTCCAGCTGGCCCCTCGCGCCCGTTCTAGCCGGCCCCTTGCGCCCGTTCCTAGCCGGCCCCGTGCGCCCCTTCCTAGCCGGCCCTCACGCCCGCCCCTCACCCCTTGGTACCGCACTGCACCGCACAGCACTGCACATCACCGCACTGCACCGCACAGTACCACACTGCACAACACAGTACAGCATTGCACCGCTCTGCACCGCACTGCACCGCTCCGCACTGCACTGCACCGCTGCTGCATTGATCCTGATAGCGGACTCCGTGCTCCGCTTCGACGCAGAGGGTTAGCCGCTCGAGTTTGACACGTGGCTGGTCGACCTCCGCCGCCATCTCACTGGTCAGCGGCAAGATGGCCACTCGCTGACAATCCACCTCGACGGTACGCTTCCCTGTCCTGACCCCCCTGCTGCCCTGCCCGCTGACCCCTCGTCCGCTGACCGTGAGTCCGCTGCAGCTGTTGTCCTTGCCCGCTCAGTCTGGTTGTGGCGTGACGCCGTAGCGCAGCTTGCGATCATGCCCTCCCCCTGTCGTAAAGCGCTATTCCAACTATGCAGGAGTTCCTAGATGCTGTTGTAAAGCGTTATTCCACCCCGCCCGCTGCCTCCGTAGGTCGCCTGATCCTGCCCATGCCCTTTCCTGACATTGCGTCTTTCCCCACTGTCGCTGACTTGGCCGCTTACCTACGCACGATAGACGCGACCTGGCACTCTACCTGCACTGAGACCCAGCTTAGAGCCTTTTAGCCGCCCCTCTGCTCTACCCTCTACTTGCTTGCCACCCGCCTCCTTGACCGTCTTGCTACTGCCCGCGACCGCTTCCTTAGCATCCACCCCGGTGACCTCACCCTCACTGACTTTGTCGACACCCTGTCTGCCATAGAGACCCGCCAGCGCTCTATCGCCCAGACCAGCGGTACTGTGCCGGTCTCTATCTTTCAGGGTTGTGCCCCTGCTCAGTGCACCTTTTCCGACGGTTCTGCCACTGTGGCTGAGTCTGCAGCTGCAGCGCAGATCCGTTCCGGGAAGGGCCGCCGCCCCAAGGCTGGGCGCAGCGGTGGGGTGGCAGTGCAGGTGGAGGTGGTGGTGGAGTCGGGTTACCTAGTGGTAGCGCTGACGAGGGGACCCTGATAGGTGCAGCCGAGCAGCCGCCTCAGTAGCCGCAGGTGTCACAGCCGGACACGCACCAGCCGCAGCCGCAGCAGCAGAGGCGGGCGGGTGGTCTCCCGCCCGGGTGGCCTGGCGCTGGTGGTGGCGCTGGACGTGGTGGTCGTGCACGTGGTGGGCTGTCGGGTGGCGGTTTGGGTGACGGGCACTGCCAGTACCTGCTTCAGACCGGTCCTCGCCGTGGCTTCGTTTGCGGTAAGATCGATCACACCTCTGTCCGCTGTTTCCGTTGCCTGGACAACCTGTTTCGTCAGCGCTTCAGCCCGTCGCCCGACCTCCCCGACTGGCACAGCTTGCTTCGCCGTAGCGTTCAGATTTTTGATATGGACATGGATGAGATTGTTGCTGCCTTGCATGTGATGTATGCTGACGACTCTACTGTGACTGCTTCTTACTACCCTACCCCTTGTTGCCTAGTGTAGGCGTGTCTAGTCGTGCCTCTCCTGCTGCGTCAGGCATAGGATCCCCTACTTTGTTTCGCCTTGGTTCTTCTGTCACTGCTCCAACTCCGGACGTCACTGCCGCACTCTCCTTCACCTTGGACTCTGGCGCTTCTCGGTGTTTCTTTCGCGACTCCACTACGCTGACGCCGCTTCCTGCTCCTGCTGCAGTTTCCCTTGCCGACCCCTCCTCCGGCCCGGTAGTCGCCCGCAGTTCCACCACCCTTCCCTGTCTGACAGTTCCTTCGGGCTCTCTTACAGGCCTGCACATCCCCTCATTCTCCAGGAACCTAGTTGGTGTTGGCTGCCTCCAGGACCTTGGCGTTACCACTACATTCCCTGGTCACGAGCGGTACGCTTTCTGTACCAAGGCTGCCACTGGTGGTCCCCTCACCACGTTCCCCCAGGACCCGGTGTCTGGACTGTTCACACTGGACACCACAACCCCCCCGGTTGGGATGTCCCCTCAGGTGTCTGCGTCTACCCAGGTTGCTGCTGCCTGCTCCTGTCGGTCGCTCACTCACCCGACACTACTGTGGCACCACCGTCTAGGTCACCCTGCCCTCCCGCGTCTGCGTTACATGTCACAGCACGGTCTTGTCCTAGGTCTCCCAAGGTCGTTCCCCGAGTTGCCCTCCTCCCCAGCACCACCGAGCACGCCCTGTGTCGAGGGCCGGATCCGCCGTGCCCCTCACTCCTCCTCGTTCCCCCCTACCACCGCACCGCTACAGACCCTGCACATGGACGTTTGGGGCCCCGCTCCCGTCCATGTGCCGCGTCGAGAGCGCTACTTCCTAGTGCTTGTCGACGACTACACCCGCTACACCACCGTCTTTCCCCTTGAGCGGAAGGCCGACGTGCCTGACATTCTCATCCCGTGGCTTGTCTCTGCGCGTGTCCACCGCGGTCTCCCTGTCTTGCGTCTCCTCTCTGACCGTGGCGGCGAGTTTGCCTCCGGCGCTCTTGGTCGTTTCTGTCGTGCGGAGGGCATCAGCCAGACGTTCACCTTGCCGAACTCCCCGCAACAGAATGGGGTCGTTGAGTGACGCATCGGTTTGGTCATGGAAGTGGCTTGTACCTCCATGATCCATGCCAGTGCACCCCATTTTCTGTGGCCGTTCGCTGTTCGCTACGCCGCTCACCAGCTAAACCTGTGGCCGCACCCCCAGCAGCCGCAGGTTTCGCCGACCCTTCTTTGGACCAGGTCTCCTGGTGACGCGTCTGCGTTCCACGTTTGGGGCTGCCTTGCTCACGTTCATGCCTCTGGCACGGACAAGCTCACTGCCCGCACCCTCCCCTGTGTCTTCCTCGGTTTCCCCCTAGACTCGTCCGACTGGCACTTCTACCACCCGCAGTCTCACCGGTTCTTTCACTCCTGCGACGTCACCTTTGACGAGTCCGTCTCCTTCTACCGCCGCTTCCCCCACCAAGGTTCCTCGGTTACTGCCCCCCTCTTCCTGGTCCCCCCTTCCCCGGTGGCCCCTAACCTCCCCCTCCCCCTCCCCATCCTGCACCGTCTGGTGTGTCCCACGTCACCCCCCTCACGTCGGTTGTCCCGGTCGAGGAGTCTGCTGACTCTGGTGGTCCTGCAGCGCAGTCCTCGCCGCCTGTCCCTCCCCAGGTGTCTCCTCTTCCGTCGCCTTTGCAACCGTCGTTGCAGCCGCCGTCGCCGCAGCCGTCGCAGCAGCAGTTCGTTGACTCTGGAGGGTGTTCCTTATGGGGGTGCTAGAGTGGAGTGTTCCGGAGGTAGCCCTAGAGCAGCTTGCGGTCCCGGAGTCGGTGCCGTGCCGCCGCAGCAGCAGTCACCGCTGGTGTCAGCCCTTCGCCTGCTCGGACTTCCGTCCCCTGACCTTGCATCTGTGCCTCGCCTGTCGTCTCCTCTTCTCCCTGTCTACGGCCCTGTGTTCCCTCCCCCGGACTACACTCTGGCTTGTCTTCCCCCTCGTTCCCCTCTTGTGTCCCTTCCTTTGTCTCCTGACCCGACTCCTCCGTCTCACGTCAGGTCTCACCGTCCCTCCCGCGCTCGCCCTGTCTCCCTTGTCCCACGCTCTCACCCTATGTTGCTTCGTTCCCACGCGTCTCGTCCTACCCTCCTACCGTCGTCTCCTCCGTCCTCCCTTGTTGTTGCGCCTCCCCCTCTGTCTGACTACCTTTGCGCCGCTTGTCCTCTTGTTCCTCGGGTCCTTGCCTCGCTCGTTACCGACCCGTCAGTTCCGGTTTCGCGTCTTGACGCCCTTGTCGCTGCTGTCGCTGACTTCGCCTCTACCCGTCGCCTTGACTACGCCACCGCTCTGGTCTCCGACCCTGCCTGTTCTCCGTCTGTCGGGGGTGCTCCTGCCCTCGGCAGTGGCCTCCTGGAGGACCGCCAGTACGAGCTTGCTATCCTGTCCGAGGCTGCTCCCCATC